ATTAATAAATAAGATGACTGGAAATCTAAGAGTTCTGTTGTAATTAACAGCGTTCAGATTTTGATGGTTTTTGTGAGCTCAGAGTGGTCTTGCATCTTACTTTGCATGTGGCTCATTTGCTTCTGAATTTTTCCTAGTTTGTTAAAACAAAACTATTATAATGGGTTTAAGGCCATGATGAACATTTACTAATGAGCCTATATACCCAAAAAGTAGATTTAAAATTTTAATCTTAACTGACTTTTAATTTTAATCTAAGCCCAATAGGGGTCTCTATTTTAAAAAGAAATTCTGAGACATTATGTAGCTTTGGCATAGATAGATAAAGTGCTGATTTCATATGCAATTATGAGCTCTCATTCTCCCCTCTTTTGGAAAATTAACATATTATGTAAATTATTTTACAAATATGATGCAGATGTCATTAATAAAACATGAAAGAGAGATCTGTATTTTCAATTAGCATTTTCATTGTCTTTCTAGTCCAGTATCAGTTTATAGCTTTCTCTACCTTGTGAAAAACTCTGTTGACATCATAGAAATCCTCTATATTTATTTGATAGTTACAGCACAAAATGTGTCTGTGCTGAAGGGCTGACTGGGGAGATCTGATGGAGGATGAGGAGGGGGACAGAAGGGAGAAAGTCCCAGGTAATGTTAGCCTCGCCCCAGCCTATGCTGATACCTTGCCTATCCTGGTTCTTACATTCTTCACAAAGCCACGAGTCCATTTCACTTGTTTCCTGGGTGATGACATTAAGGACTTGTTTATGGACACTCACTAAGCAGAAGGTCGAATTTAGATATGGTAGAGTTTACTCTCTTCTAATAGGTTGAGATATTGTTTTGTGGCTGAGTTCAGATTGTCAGCACAGTGTAGTTTGACCTTCAGTCAGGTATTTGTTTTTGAAGGGGAGATACAAGTTTTCTGTTTCAAAGGTGAGGTTTCTGGTAGCCCATTGTAGGACAAGCATTCGTTTATACTATTGTGGACATTTAAAACCAAAGATGCTTACTTCAAAGCAACCCACATCTCTCAGTCAATACACACATACTATTTCCAAAAAAAAAGGTTTCTTTTTAAACACCCGTAGTTTATTAATTGTCATCAGTCTTAACTAGGCCTCACATAGATGAGGCAATGCTGATAAACTGCATGGAAATCATCGGAGGAAAATTATTCTGAAAGTTATGTCCCAAGCACACATTCTAAAATTAATTTCTCAGCATAGTGAAAACAATACTGCTAATAATTAAAAGGCATGTGTTATCAGAGGGCCAAATAAGAGAAGAATTTGTATCTCTGAGTTTAGATCAACTCATATGTAATTATGTAGATTATTCAGCAAGAAAGGGACCCTGCCATTGTTGTCTCAGTTAACCAGATTTAAGGAGGGAATGTGGTGGGGTGACTGAGGGGTGGGGGAGAATGAATAAACCAGGCTGCCATGCTGACCATAGTCAAGAACTTTCAACTCTCCCATTCTCTCCGAGCTGGGTAGGCCCAGCTATAGCAAAAATGTGTAACTTCTTCCATGTTTTGGAATTCCTTTTTTTGTTGTCAATCACAAGTAACCCTTTGTGATGTTGTCAGCAGCTCATAGGTGAGGATGCACCAGTAAAAGCTTCAGCTGCTCAACAGGTAGGATCCAAGCAAAGAAAATACCTGCCCAACTGCCAATAGTGGCTACTCACCACAGCATATGAGATGCTGCCAAAAGGCAGCGACACTGGAGCTTCTCACCCATGTGCCCTCCCTGAGAGACTCGAGCTGCATTTAGTTTTCAAATATTTAACTTTAACCTGTTTAATATTTAGTAAGGCTAAAGGAATAAAAGATGAATTATTGAAGAGATTAATGTTTTTAGAACCAAAAAAAGTCACAGCCATGCAGCTTTGTATCAAAAACTCATTTCACAGGCATTAATTTTTTAATGAAACACTGATTGTGCGATCAACTACAGTGTTTCTAATAAACTCCAATATTCAGTGGGAAGGGCGTTCTTATTTTCTTGGGCTAAATGCAGTGTGAGTTGAATTCTCTTATGTGGGTTCCAGAAACTGCTGGAAAAAACATCGAAAGGAACAGACCCTTCATTTCTCTCTGAATTTGTAACCTGAGTGGATAATTTGAAACCCTATGACATTGAAAACCTCCCTTATGAAGGGGTGGACGTGGCTTTTCAGAACATAACTGAGCAGACAAAGGGATCACCATTAGGAATTGTGTTTTCTGAGGGGCAAAGAGAGAGGGAAGGGAGCCAGGGTGGTGAATTCAAGCAGAATCAATAGGTGGGGCTTTGTTAATCGAGAAATCTAGTGTAGGAGCCAGCACAGATGGTGGGGTGGGGGAGGGGCAGGCAAGCGTCTGGGAGGGGACAGAGAAAGGATGGTGGCTAATTGTCATAGATGTAATTTGCAATATCATCTTGTATTTCTCTTTTATGTCCACAGTTGAGGAAGGTAGGACTCTTTCATCTCCTATAAGAACTCAAGGAAACTCCTCAGTAATGCCTCCCAGGGAGCAACTATTTTCAGTGGTATATGAACATGAAAATGCTAGGGAACACTTCATTGCATAATGTTTAAAATGTAGATAGAGGCATAGAAAATGTAGGTGAACAAGCTGTGATTTGGGGAACATTAACAGGATTGAGACTGAAAACATCATGGAAGAAATTTAAAAGAATATAAAATCAAATTGGAAAAGAGGGAGAGAGAATCTAGGATTCAGAAAAAGGTTAAACTGTTTTAATTGGAAAGGGTTAAAAGAGTCAGTCTTCCTGGCAAGCATTGTGAAATTTACTTTTTGCATAGTGACAGCTTATAGGGATTTATGCCTGCCCCACTGCAGGGATGCATTTGTAACTGCATATTAATAAGTCTTCCTGAAACTCAGAAGCAAAACAATGTGACCTGCTAGGGTTCTGCTTGGGAGGTGACTGATTCCTGGGCCTTGGGCTAAGACAGGCTCCAACTTTCACTGAGGAGAGACTCTGTGCTCTTGGGGGAGACCGAATCCCACACTGCTCTTAAGCATCTTTTAGAAGCTCTAAGAGCCATGTGTGTATGTGCGTGTGCGCGTGTGTGTGTGTGTGTGTGTTTGTGTGTGTTGTTAGTACAAAGACAGAGCGGGGTACAGGTGGTGAACATCGCACTGGTGAGAGAGAGGAAAAAAGATAGGATAGCTCTAAAATAAATGGGAAGTGACTTTCAAGAGATTCTATTTCAACAAGCTGATGCATTCCTTTTGTGTTTATTCTTTTGAGGGAATGGAAATTAGCTCCCAAGGTGAAGGGTAGCTGTAGCTGCAGACAGAAACACACGCTCTGTACTTAGCTTTCACTGGAGAAAATGCAAGACAGTGAAAACTCTTTTCAAAAACATCAATACCTTCTATTTATAGAACTTGTAAAAATGATTTGCAGTCAAAAGCAGTAATAGTCAATGCTTTAAAACTCTACACATGTAAAAAAAAAGTACAAAGATTTTTAAAAACATTAGGTCAAAGGTCAAGAGTATACCTGAATCTACCATCTCAATTTTGTTTTGTAACCATGGAGGTAGGTATGCAATATGATCCCAGAAAGCAGTTTTTATGGCAACTTTTATAATCTGATCTGACGTAACCTACAGGTTTGTTTGAAATAGAAGAATTTGTCTGATGATTTTTTGGAGGTTGAATATTTTATTTTTCCTGAAGTACAACTCACCTATTTTAGAGAAATAAAAATTAAGTATAAGGATTACAGTCATGAGAAATCATTCTTTGCAAATGCGTATGACTGACAAGTTTTAGATTTACATATAGGTTTTCAAAAGCACCATTTTACCTGAAGATTATCAATCAACCCTTTCAATCAAATAAAAACTTTTCCTATTTTTGGGGGGGTGGTAGAAAGATTGGGGTGATTTTTCATACAAAACCTTTGTCACAATACACACAGACACTTTGTTTTTATATAAAAAAAGTTTATTTTACAAGATCTTCAGGAAGTCTTACGATGCATGATTGGGATTGTCTTATCTGGATGTGAATTTGCTTAATACACAGATGGACTCAAGAACCAGTTTTCATCAGGCATAGCCCTGAGTGTCTTCTGATGCAGAGACCACACCAAATGCTTCCTGTTCCTCAGGCTCTCCACCTAAATCCCAATAACTCTCAACAGATGGCCTCCTCTCCAAATTTACTGAGATAAACATATCAGGTTATTTGCTATCCTCTATTCGCTTCCATTGATTTTGTCTTTCTTTCTTGAACCCTCTGCACACATCTTTTCCTGTCCAGCTAGGAACATGCTGATCATCTGTGTCGTATTGTATACGTTGTCCTAATCTTCCTATAAGGCCAAAGCGTGCCTCCATTTCACGATTAGCTCTCAACCTGCAACTGTGTGCAATTTAATTTTTAGTCCCACTGCTTGATTAAACTATTTGTGAAAAGCATTACTAGATTTCAAATCCTTCAATGCAGTTTTTCCTTTCTCCCTTCCCTTCCTCTGTCCTTCCTTCTGGCCTTGGGTTTCACTTCCCAAACCCACTGCTATCCAACTTTCACCCCATCCCTGCAGTGAAACTTTTCAGAGACCCAGGTCCAAAGGACCCTTTTCCTGATGTGGCAGTGAGTGAGTGAGTGTGACCTACCAGTGCAAAAACACTCCCCCCACGCTGAGACATCTCCTCCCTCTGCCTTCATGGCTCCAGATAGGTCTTTTTCCCTGTTCATCTCTGAGACTATCATCTCTTGTTCTGCTTAGTCTTCTCATACTTCCTGAACAATGAGTGCTCTCGAGTGCTCCTGAGAGCTCCCTCTTCATTCTGAGCGAGAATGCCCAGAATGTCGAGAGTTGGGGGCCGGCGGGGGGCCCCAGGCTGCGGGCTTGCGGGACGCCAGGGGGCTGCGCGCTTCCCAGGAACCAGTGTCCCCTCGGGTCACTTAATCGCCACGGTGGGGCTGCTCTGTAGACTCTCCTGTGCGGGGCCTGTCACCAGCGAGTCTGGTCTGGTCTACTTTAGCCTCCTGCTAGTTTTCCCGCAAAACACACTCTCAAATTCCTTCTTCAGAGAATCTCCGTGCCGCTCCTGGATGTACTTCAGGAAGGCGGTGGTCCCCTGCAGGGTCGTGGCCTTGTCCGCCTCGGCGTTGCAGAACGGGACCAGGAGGTTCAACTCGTCACAGCAGATGTGGATTCTGCGCCTTCTGTCCCTCTCCATGCGGTTGTGCCTCTCCCTGCGCTGCGACCTCCCGCCCGGGACGCTCTGGGCCTGCTCCCCGGGGTGGGGCTGTGACGGCTCCGCTGACTGCCAGGGGCCCTGGGCCGCAGGCGCACCGTCCCCCACGTTCTGAATCTCTCCCAGGACTCTTCGCTCCACGCTTGTGTCCAGCTGCCGTATCCGACTCCGATTCCTCTTGTTTATTGCTTGTTTGCACTGCGCTTCTTCTCCCACTTTCATCCAAACCTGCTCAGGCAAAGCTTTGTTTCTACTACCTAAGGTCTGCTTAGTGGATTCAATTTCTTGTGGTAACAGAACGAAAACGCTCTGGGCAGCCCGATGTCCTGATGCTTGGCAGCCTCGAGGACAGAACAGGAGTTGCTAGAACTCTGAGTCGGCGCCAGGGCGGCGCCTGACCCCGAGGAGCAGGCATTGGCGGTGAACAAGGGGTAGGTGAGCTGCAGCGTGGCGGCCGCCCCCGCTATCTTATTTTTCACTAACGCTGTGCATTTGTTTTGTTGCTGATGAAGAGGAACGTTCATTAAGTCGGACGGGTGTCGAATAAGAGTCACCAAATTGTTGAGCACCACGCCGGGCTCAGGGGGCTCAACAATTCCTCATGCTGTGGATTCTCATTCAACCCATCTATTTAGAATCATGTATGGGCACCTACAGGACACTCATGCCTGGTCTTGGAGTTGTTAATATTGGGCATGTTGTGTAGTCCTGCCTCAGTGAGAGATAGCAATAAGAAAACAGTCACTTATGCTATAGCTAGATGAAAATGTCATATTAAGGGGCATACAGAGCACCATGGGACCCCAGAACAAAGTGTTGACAAAAAGAGGAAGGGAGGAGAAATTTCTTATTGCTGACAAAGAGGCAAGAAAGAACACAGTCTTCTAGGATCTGCAGGCAGCTCAGCATGGCTGGAGCTGAATGAAGAGTGGAGTGGGCAAGGCAGGAGATGGCCTGCAGACAGGATTGTGATACATTTCACAAACCTTCTTTAGAGTTGGTACTTTAGCCGGCATCAGTGAAAGGTTTTTAAAGAAAAGAGTAATATGATCATATTTGCATTTTAGAAGCTGGATTCTGACAGCTCTGTCAAAAACCAACTGGAGAGGCCTCAGTGAGAAAGCAGACAAACCAGTTAAGAGGCAATTTGATAACTTGCAGTAATGTAGACAGTAGATTGTCTGAATTAGCATGATGGTGGCTGGGGTGACAAGATAGAGAGCTTACTGGCAAAGAGGAGGCCCACCAATGATTTAAAACTCATTACTAACATTAATATTTGCAAAATTTTATCTGTCTTTACTAGTACCTATAGTAGATGAATCCTATGCCAGGTTCTGATTTGCCCACATTTGGTCCTGTGGCAGGGGTATGGGATGCTTTGGCTGAGCCTGGCTAGGTAACAACATCAGCTGTAATTCCTCCACATGGAAATGTCGCCATTAGAAGAATACTTCTGTTTATAGAAGGGAGAAATAATGCGAGGAAATCTAAAGCAAAGTATGTCTGCAACATATTTTTTTCAATTCAAAGAATTTCTCCTGGGTTTCTGGTTGGCTCTATAAGGAAGTAAATAATAATGAAGGAATCTTCAAAAAAAAAAAAATTGCAACCCACTCAGTGATAGTCTGAAAACAGTCCTTCCACAAAATTTTTGATGCAGACATAAATAATTCAATATACCTATATCATACCACACAGTTCAGTGGTGATGCGCACAGCTGTATCTTCAAACTGGAAAACTTAGATGGCTTTGTTGTTCAGAGAAGAACTTTTCTAACTTCTGAGAGAGCTTTCTAGAAACAAAGGCTCCTTTTGCTTAGGCCCTTTTCCATCTCTAAGAAGTGTGTTATCATCACCAGTACTTATCAATTCTTTTATGTTTTGTGTTTTGCTTTACAAATTCCCAACTTGTACATGAGCAGAAGCAGAAAGAGGAAGTGGGAAGAAGAAATCTTTAATAACAATAGTTGTCTGAGAGTGCTAGCTTATATAATATGGTGGTAGGTGTGAGAAGGTTCAGTTTTTATCTTCATTTCATCAATAATATTTGAGCCCCTGATCTATTCCAGTGCTTTTTAGGGTTAGAGATACAGAAACTAGTCAAAGCTCATCTGCTTTGTGAAATTCACATCTAGGGAGATAAATTAATACAGTCTCAATTATCATCCAATATATCAAGTGCTTCAAAGGAGGGTGAAGAGGACTTCCAGCCAAGATAGAGGCATGGGTAGATACACTTTTCTTCCTTGCACAACCAAAACAAAAGCAACAACAAATTTAAAAAGAAAAAACAATCTGAACCGCCAGAAAATTGAACTGTATGGAAGTCTGACAACCAAGCGGTTAAAGAGGAAACATTCATCCAGACTGGTAGGAGGGGCAGAAATAGGCAGCCAGAGCAGAGAGGATGAATGGCAAGGAGATGGATGGGGCAGGCAAGGCTGCAGCTGGTGGATAGGTGGTCCCACATTCACGTGCAGATAGGCCAGGAGGGACAAATGGGAGTGAGACAGACAACACAACCCAGGGTTCCAGCACGGGAAACTAAAGCCTCAAAACCTCTGGCTGTAAAAACCTGTGGGGATTGCGGCAGTGGGAGAAACTCCCTGCCTCACAGGAGAGTTCTTTAGAGAGATCCAAGGGACGATAGAAAGTACACAAACCCACCAGAAGTGTTCAATTCTTTTGTGGATAGTGGGGGAAGTGACTGAAAGCTGGACTAGAGCTGAACAAGTGGCATTGTTCCCTCTCAGACCATCCCCTACACATACAGCACCACAATGCAGCCAAGTAGGTTGCCTCGCCCTGGTGAACACCTAAGACTCCATCCCTTACACTGTAACAGGTGTGCCAAGACAAAGAAATATGGCCCAAATGAAAGAAGAGGTCAAAACTCCAAAAAAAAAGGAACTAAGCAATGAGGAGATAGCCAGAGGAGAGAGCCAACCTATCAAATGCACAGTTGAAAACACTGGTAGTCAGGATGCTCACAGAAATGATTGACTACAGATGCAAAACAGAGGAAGAAGTGAAGGCTATGCAAAGTGAAATAAAAAATATACAGGGAACCAAGAGTGAAGGGAAGGAAACTGGGACTCAAATAAATGATTTGAAACAAAAGGAAGATATTAACATTCAACAGAAACAGAAGGAAGAAACAAGAATTAAAAAAAAAAAATGAGAGGCTTAGGAACCTCTGGGACAACTTTAAACTTTCCAACATCTGAAGCATAGGGGTGTCAGAAAGAGAAGAGGAAGAGCAAGAAATTGAAAACTTATTTGAAAAAATAATGAAGGAGAACCTCCTCAATCTGGCAAAGGAAATACACTTCCAGGGAGTCCAAGGTCTCAGAGAACCCCAAAGAAGTCCCAAAGGAGGAATACACAAAGATCCATCATAATTACATTGCCCAAGATTAAATATAAAGAGAGATTCTTAAAAGCATCAAGAGAAAAGGAGACACTTACCTACAAAGGAGTTCCCATAAAACTATCTGCTGATTACTCAAAAGAAAACTTGCAGGCAAGAAGGGGCCAGAAAGAAGTATCCAAAGTCATGAAAGGCAAGGACCTACAACCTAGATTACTCTATTCAGAAAAGTTATCATTTAGAATGGAAGGGCAGATAAAGTGCTTCCCAGATAAGGTCAAGTTAAAGGAGTTCATTATTGCCAATCCCTTATTATATGAAATGTTAAAGAGACTTATCTAAGAAAAAGAAGAAGATCAAAAACTATGAACAGTAAAAAGACAACAGACTCACCACTATCAACAATTGAACCTAAAAAACAAAAACAAAGCAAACAACTAGAACTGTAATGGAGTCACAAAAATGGAGATCATATGGAGGGTTATCAATGGAGGGTGAGGGAAGAATGGATGAAAAGTACAGGGAATAAGAAGCATAATTTGTAGGTACAAAATAGGCAGGGGGAAGTAAAGAATAGTATAGGAAATGGAGATGCCAAAGAACTTATATATACGACCCATGGACATGAACTAAGCGGGGCGGGGGGCGGTGTTGGTGGGAAGGGAGGTACAGAGCAGAGTGGAATAAAGGGGAGAAAAAACATGGGACAACTGTAATAGCATAATCAGTAAAATATACTTAAAAAAAGAGGGCCAAGAGAAAAAAGAGTCTATGAAAAATGTTCATAAGTCTCGTCAGAAATTGTTTATTATCATATCACATCATCAATGTTGTGGGAGAAAAATAATAGAAGCTAAACAAAATAAAAATAATTATAATAATAGCTTATGTTCCATGATAGACCAGTTATGTTAATACTGAACTGTCTTATTTGTTTGGTGCATGTGTGAGAAAGGGCAGCTTTGGAACCCAGCATTAGTTTATTTACCTGCTTCCCATATTTCTGATATTGGAGCAGATGTTGGGTTATGGAAAGGTATCAGTCACAACTCCTACCATCAGAGAGCTTGAGGCAGAGAGAGAGAGAGACTCAGCAGTTAAAACATGTGATATGTTACAGATGTCATAATAAAATATGACATGTATGATAACAGACAAATCCATGACAAGGAGAGCACCTGCTTTTCCTTACACTCACAGAGAAGACCATTTAGTGACATTTGACATGGAAAAATCAGTAAGTGCTTATCAAACATGTTGCCTCCTCTCAAGCAGAGAGAATGCAGGACTAGCACCAGAACTCATTTTTAGGGAGACTCACTCGTTGGGAAATTGTCAGGTACAAACGAATTCCTCCAAAAAACATTAGGTGAGAAAGTGTTATTTTCTGATATTTGTAATTTTAAAACTGATCTTCATTTTAACCACATTCATAAGTAGAAGTTTTTAGCAATTTTGGGTGGGCTTTGGAGGAAGAATTCTTCCTTGCTTCTCTTCCCTTAGGAGATCTGTGATGAGGTGGCCATGCTCACAGTCTATAGCTGAAACTGAAACAAAACACTATTTTACAAAGAGCTGGACAAACCCATGATTCTCTCTGATATCTGGTGAATGCTAAATTCAATAATTTGGGTTAATGATTAAGAAGAATTAGGAGATCTATGCAAGGCTTTTTCCTTCCTACTGTTTTTTCCCCCTGAAACAAGACTTTGTGCATCCATTCACCACATAGGGTACTATGGTGAGCTGTCAATAAGAGGTCAGGCTTGGTCTTCCTACTGCAGATCTTGTCATCTGTAAATGCCAAGTGATCAGACCACCTACCAAAAGGACTCCAGTGAACAGAGGAAGTAAGGAGTGGCTGATGAATGACACTGTGTGCTGCTATTAAGGCTGAGTGACACTGTCCACTCACTAATAGAGCCAGGCCCAAGAGTCTGACCCATCGGATAGAGTTTCACCCAACTGGCATGTGATCGGGTGGTTCAGAAGTATATGTGTATGTGTAGGTGTGCATGTGGGTAGGGTAGGTAGAGATATGGAGAGCCCCTGCCTCAAATCACACTATAGTCAAGAATGAAAGGGATGAAGAAGATAATTACGACAACCAGATTTCTTTAAATAGGTTATTCTGCTCTCTGACAGCTTAGATTCTAGATAGAATTGCTCTTGATTAAACAAAACTTTGTATCATAATTTGATCATTAATAATACAAATTAGCCTTTAAGATGAGTTGAAGAGAGCAAGAACACTAAGCTGTTTTTATTGGGGAATATCTTGTAATGGAGGTGGGATTTTAATTAAAATTTGAATGATGAATTCAAATTTTGTTTATGGAAACATAAACAAGAATGACATTTTTGATGGGTGAGCCTAAAGTAATATTAAATGTTCAAGTTTTTTATCTGCTTATTCAATAAATTCTTCAATTTGGCATGACAAAGTTGTGACAAGGACCAGGTAGCTTGATAATTTCACATAAACATTTTATAGGGAATAGAAGTAGTTTTCATAGAGGTGGTCAGAAAATAAGACTTTACCAAATTTCACTCCTCCATTTAATGTTTGTATTTTAGAATCCATGGCAATTATATTAGCTGTTGCACAAATAATGAATAGTTTTCTTTAACCACTTTAATTTCTAAAGTTAAATCTAGAATTAGAAATGTTGAAATACAAACTTCCTAAGCACTGGAGGAATCTACATGGAGGGGAACATGCTTATCACTTGAAGTTGTATCTCCTTGCCTTATTTCCAGATAAGACAGCTGTTTGATGCTTTAGAGTCTGGTGTGTTGTGTCCTATCCTGCAATAATTCAGAGCATTCCTGCAGCCACACCATATGGGGAGAAAGTCTGGTCCATTGTTGGTCCATTGTAAGATTCAAGACATGGCTTTGTCCTAACTTCAGACCAAAGTCACTGTGGGCCTTTCTGTTTTATAAATGAGGAGAAATACAAGGTTTCTTGGAAACTCACCCAGTAAGTATCTGAGTGTGTTCTTTAAATTCCATCTCTTTTCATCTCCAAGTCCATCTTTAGGTGTATAGGTTGGAGGATGTGGCATCCTGAAGCAGAATTAATCACATTTAACTCTTCTTGCCCATTTATGTCCCATAAACTCTCTCTTCTCCATGACTGATGTACATGGACATTTTATGTCAAGATACTTACATCTGTATAGAGCTATGGAAAGAACAATTTTCCAGAATCTAGTTATTAATTAAATAATCTTCCAGAAATCATTAGACCTCTCTCAGCTTCAGTTTCTCTATCTGTACAAGAATGTTAATATTTACCCTGCATAGAATTATGATGATGTGCAGGTAATTTTACTATATGGGTTGTTTAAATTCTCATTTTAAAATGTGTTTCTTATAAATCAAACCCATTTACTGAATGTCTAGTATGGGCCAGAAATAATGACAGCCACATGTAAGAGTAAACATAGCAGATTCTGTTTCTTCTCTAGTGAAGTTTACAATTAAATAGAAGAGGTGCAGATCATACATGTGAATAGACACAGAAACAAGCATTCTGTGAATGGGGTACATTGAGGAAGATTTGCACAAATGTCCAATTTGATTTTCAGTATCAGGCTAGCCTTCTTTGAAAAAGTTATCTCTAAGCTGAGATGAAAGGGTGGTTTGTATTAATCCAATAAAAAGGAGGGAGATGACACATTCCAGAGAGACTGGAGCAGCACGCATGAAAGCAAAGTGATCAGGGGCTGTGGGCATTGTGCATATTCCAAGGCCCACATGGAGAATATGGGTCCTCTTTTAAAAGCAAAGGGAAGTTACTTAATGATCTTGTTATAGCATAACTTGTCTCTCCTACTGGATTGTAAACTCCATGAGGCTAGAAACCAAAATGAACATGTTGCTTCCTCTTTTACAGCGCCAGATATTATGATTTGTTAACCAAATATTTGCTAATTACAATGTCCTAAGTTACAGAGATAGCAAAAGTACTTCATGAGGCATTTTTTTTCAAGCTTGAATGGCCCTCAAACTGCATGAAAAATAGAATGTTAACTTTGTTCCATCAAGCTAAGAATGTTTAAAATTAGAGGCACAGACTTCACCCAATATATGTACACTTCATCCATGTGTATATTTGAGTAATGACGAATAACTCAACATATTACATTTTCTTCCTTTTGAAGTGTTTCTGATTTGTTTTTTTTTGTTCCCCTCGGGTTTTTCAGGATATTACAATGATGCCGGTGAATGTTTCACGTAGCTCTTGGCTGCCGTTTCATAGAAGGAAAAACAAATAGAAAGACCTTAGGGTAATTGTCTCTGTGTTCTGGGCAGAGATCAGTAGCCATTCCATAAACTTGTGCTCCTAGCCTAGCAGACACGGGACCCAGCATTGATGTTTCATTTCATTGCTTAGAATGTGAAAGAACAATTGGAAATAACCTCTTCGTAACAGTCTTGTTACCCTTTCATCCTTACTTCTGCTGCTTTTTATTTCTCTCTTTTTACACCAGAGAATGATCATATGACATCTATTTCCACAAAAAGTTCTGTAAAAACTAGAAAGCTCAAATTTTCATTATGCTTTATATGTGGTTTCTCAGGGTGTTTTTTTGATGAACACATCCTTTTGTAAATTCATTATTATAACAATTATGCATAAACATGGATTTGATACAAAATTCTCTCAATTTTCTCTGTTGAGTCTGTTTTCCTCTATGTTGAGTAAAAAGCACTAAGAGTTTGTTTTATTTTCATTTAAGTTATCACTGCCATGTGAGAAAAGCCTTGTTATAATAATATTTTAAGTGTTATCATTTGGGCAAAAAGAGTAGTTTTGGGGGGCAGTAGAGTGGGGCAGGAGAAAATGGAACTTTTTATATTAGTAGAAATTCTGTTGCTATCTGGAGCTTTTTATGTTAGAGAATGTGTAATGGAAAATGCTCATTTGATAAATATGAATTGAACGAGGAGAACACATCAGTGAACAAAACCCAATCACTTCCTAATGGAGGTCTGCCTCTGCGTGTGGATGCTGGGATGGGTGTGAAGGAATTATGGCCCCTTTGGCTGTTCACACTTGCCAGGTTCTGCAGTTGTAGTGACCAGAAGCAGGATGGACTATGGGTTTCCTCCCCAGTGATGTTACCACCAGTGATAAACAGCATGAAAGCAACTCACAGGCCAAATTCCATCACATGCCCAAACTTTTATTATCAAGTAGGCACAAAAGTAGTGATATGACCTTTTCTGTACATTTGGTGAAGTCCCCACTCTGTTTTTTTTTTTTCCAGGCAGCCCAGTGAGTATTTTTCATGAAAGGAAAATTACAAGAGCATTTTGATGGTAGGATCAGCTAACTTAGTGATCTTCAAACATTTCTGCTCCCATGCCTCCTAAAAATATTTGGAAAAGCTATACTTCTTCATATGTTTAAGCTGAATATGAAAATTGTATTGCAAGTTGCATGGATGAACTATCTACTATCATGTGGACTGTGGTATATTTGTGCTAAGCATAGTTTTGTTAAAACCTTGGAGTTAAATATTTTTCCATTGCAGTCATGTAAAATGATTATTAGCTACTCTAATAGAACCAGCCAATTCTCTAAAACAAACTTGCTTTCTGACAGAAAAAAATCTGACTTGTTTTTTTTTACTTCAACTAAACTCTCAGGTTGATTCTGAGTTCCATCCTAAAGTTGTTTGGTAGGCAGGCACATAGAGTCAAACTTGCTGACTTGCACACACTGGTAGAAGGTGCGGTCATCGATGGCCATTGACTGCTTCTTGCTTTAGCTTGGTTCATTAGCTGTGCTTTTGCCTTGCTTCTCAGTGACAATCTTTTCATTCATTTCAAACTTGCACTCAGGCATGCCATTCAGGTTGTTCTTTATCACCAGCTGGCCTTACACATTGAAACTCAACACCCTCCCCTATGGGCACACGAGGAGGCCTATACTCTCCAGCACATCCAGGAAGAGCTCATTCCTGTGATACTTGAGGCCCTCCCGCCTCCAACCCATCCTGTATGTATATAAGCACTGGACTTTGCTGTAAATGTGTTCATCACCTAATGAAATAAGGTGCTGGCCCTTAATATGTCTTTCCTAAGCTTTCTTTGCTTGTTGTCAGAGGACTCTGATTTTCACATTGTTACTTTGTTTAGTGCCCAAAGTCTCACCTCAGAGCCCAGTCCAGCCAGAATGGGTGTGTATGAATCTCTTTGGTAAAGTGGGAGATGACATGGGCAAATTTGAATAGGTGTTTGGGGGGGTGCCATTTCAGGCTTAAGGAAAAAGAATCTATGCAAAGTAAGGATCTGAAAAACAATTTCATTATAATCATTTCTCTCTATATACTACCTAAAAATCTTGTACAAACAGAATAATTGACCTCCCAGTTAGAAGACTGATTGCCAATGATGGTTCTATTATAGATAATAATAAGGCACCTTGATATATGACAAGATATGGTCAAATGCACTGGAGAGGACAGAAAGCCTAGAAAAGTAATAAAGGATGAGTTTGACTTTTGATGTTAGTTTGATACGTGACTTTTGACTTTTGGGTGAAACTGTTCTTAAGTACTTGGATATCAAGGTTGGCCCTCAGCCCAACTTGATAATCCTTCTTGCTTGCCTTCATGGGTGAAGCACCCACCGGCTCTTCTCTGAGACAATCCTTCCTCATGTATTTAATCCCATTCTCTCCTTTTGACTCAGAAACACATCTCCAGCAGTTTCTACCATTTCCATTATCAATTTCCCCCTCTCTTCTGCATCAGTCCCATCACCACCTAAAGGTGCTTTTATATCTTTCACTTAAAAAAAAACAAACACATAAACCACCCTCTCCTGACTCCATTTCCCCTACAGCTGCCACTCTAGTTATCTGATTCTCTTTGTAGCAAAACTCCTCAGAAGAATTGTCTCTACTCTCTGAGACCAAGTTCTCTTCTCCCATCCTCTCTCAAACACATACAAATCATTCTTTTGTGTCCACTTTTACATAAAACTGCTCTTGTTTAGGCCCCAGTGACCTTCCAGACTCTCAGCACTCAAGTCACTTGACCTGTCAATATTATTTAACATATTTTGTTCTTTCTTTGCTTTGATGATTCCAGGATACCACACACATGCTCATCTTTCACCCTATGTCACTAGATTTACCTTCTCAGCCTCCTTGGGTGGCCTTTTCTCTTCTTCTAGACTTCTTAGTGCTTGACTGTCTAAGGACAGATGTCTTGAACCTCTTCTCTTCTAGGTCACCACTCATTCTCCTGGTAATTCTTACCCAGTCCCAAGGCTTTAAATACTGTCAGTACACTTAAGACTCCTACATGTGTAATTCTGACTGAGACCTCTTTCCAAGCCCAAACCTTGCTCAACCCTCTGACTTTTCAGCATCTCCATGTGCCTGTCTGGTAGCACCTCAAAGTCAGCATATCCAACACTGACTTCTTATCTCTCCCTTGAAAGGGTCCCCTGGAAGCTTCCCTCTATTAAAATTGTGGCAGCAACATTTTTTTTTCTATTCTTCAGGCTACAAAACCACCTGCCAGAAATGTTTTTTTTCCTTCCCTCAGAATAATTTACTTATAAAATATCCAACCACTTCTCACTCTTCCACTGCTGCTCCCTACTCTAAGCCCTGATAAACCATTGTCTGAATCATGTTGGTAGCCTAACTTGTCTGCCTTAGTTTGCTCTTATTCTCAACCTAGTAGCTAAACTGACCTCTTTAAAACATCAGACAGATTAAGCCTTTCAAGAGTTCAAAATTGTCAGAGGCTCACCATTTCAGTTGGAATAAAAGCCAGAGTTCTTATAATGGCCAGAAAATGCTACTAATCTGATCTCGTCTTCAACAATACTCTCCTTCCTTTGACTCTGATCTCCACTGGCTTCCTCCCTGTTCTCCAAACACACCAGAAATTGCTTGCTTCAGTGGCTGTGCACTGCCTGACTCTTCTGCCTAGAATACTCTTCCCCCAGATATCCTTCAAGTTTCTGCCAAAGTCTTATTTTCTCAATGAATTCTATCCAGAGAACCCTGTTTAAAATTATGCCTGGCTGTCATTAC